ACACACACACACACACACACACACATTCTCTCACTCACTCACACACAGACTCAAACACACACTACCACACACACACACACATGCGCACACAAACACATACACACACACACACATACACACACAAACACACACACACACACACAAACACACACACACACACACACACACACACACAATCAAACCATGCGCGCCTCCTGCTACTAAATCACTCACTTCTCGCAGCGAAAGTTTGGCAGAGACAAACGACAAAGGCAAGAAAAGGCTGGAGATCTATAGATAAGAACTGACGTCTGACTGTCCAAATGTTTTGTGGAACTTCTCCACTGAGCTGTCTAGCCGTGCTATGTACACTTGTGATCTTCCAGACAGGTTCACTGACAGTTTACTATCTGTAAATAACAATGTTCTATCTGACAGTTTTGGCAGTTTTGAGTTACTAAGACTATGAAGCAAGTCAGAAGTCAAATGTTCTATCTGCTCTATCAAAATCGTAAGATTATTTGGAATCGTTATCAAGATATTCAAAGAATCTCTTTCGAAAAAGTTTGATATGTTGTAAAACTCAGGTTTTTTTAACGTCGAATTTATCCAAATAAGGCACAGAGAAGACAGAACTTGGCAATTTTATGGTTTCTACATGATGCTCCATCGTTACCTCAGAATTACAAACTTTTGTCTGCTCAGTACCTGGCTTTAGGAAGTTTAACGTCAGAGGTTTTGAGTTTCACTCCATGTCAAGCTTTTTCGAATGCAGTTATTTGAATATCTTGATAACAATGACTCCGGATAATCTTACGATTTTTGACATGGCAGACATACTATTTGATTTCTGACTGCAGGGTCTTAGTAATTCAAAACGGCCAAAAATGTCAGTAATTCTAAGGCAACGATGTGTTGAACAGTGCTACCATAGCCACAGCGAGAACCACTCGGTCATCATCATTATCATCAATGCCTTTCACCCCTGGCAGGGTATAGGCCACATACAAGCTCCTTCCATTTATCTTTATCCTGGGCCATCCTTCCTAGCTCGTTCCAAGTGAGCCTCATCTCTTTTATGTCCCTTTCCATACATCTTCTCCATGTTTCTCGTGGCCTACCCCTGCCTCGTGCTCCTTGTGGGTTCCATTGCAGTGACTGTCTTGTGATGTTTCCGCTGGGCTTTCTGAAAGTGTGTCCATCCAACGCCACTTTCTTAGTCCTAGTTCCTCTTCTATATCCTTTTGTTGTCCTGTCCTTTCCCATAGCTCTTCATATCTTATTAAATCCTGCCACTTAATTCTTAGGCCAAAAATATCAGTAATTCTAAGGCGGCGATGTGTTGCACAGGGCTACCATGGCAACAACAAGAACCACTTGGTGGTGCACTAAAAATCCTCTAGAATGGGTGTTTGGGCTCAGTGATGGTCTGTGAATGCTGGACAGTCACTAAAGACATTAAAAATAAAATAGAAATGTGGTTTCTTAGGAGACTGCTAAGAGTATCGTGGAAAGAAAAGAAATCAAATGAGGTAGTGCTTGATGAAGCCCACGTGGGACGTTCAATATTAAAAACAATCAGGAAAAGATAAATGCAGTTTTTGGAACACGTGAATAGACATAAGGGTCTTGAACATCTAGCTCTCACTGGCAAAATTGAGGGCAAGCGAGGCAGGGGTAGGCCCAGAACAACATACTTAGGGAACCTAAACAAATGGGTAACAGGGAAAGATCAGGAAAACGTAGCTTTTTTTAGAACATCCGAGCTAAGGAATGAATGGAAAACTATGATCGCCGATGCCTGTCGCAGATCTAGCCCTGGATGATGATGATGATGATGATGATGATGATGATGATGATGATGATGATGATGATGGGTTTTGTGGTGGCCATTCAGACTCAGTGAGCCTCACCCTTCCTGGTCTATCCGCTAAGACCAGCTAGGTATGGGCCCCGTGACGTCACGCTATAACACCAGTCCATGCAGCAGAGTGTAAAATGAAATAGTTGGCAATTTTCTACAGAATCAGACTTTAAAAAAAAACGTGTCTTATATCCCCCCTCGACCCAATTTGAGACCCTTTAGGTTTCGGAGTTCGACCCTTCCTCCCAGGACCAACCCCGCTGAGAGGGATTCACCACACCAGCAGAAAAACCGAGATGCTCGCTAAAACGTCTCATCTCTCGGGAATCAAACTCGGTCTCCTGCAAGCGATGACGACAAGTGTCTAACTGCTACACCACAGACGTCAATAGGATTTTCCTGACTGGACATACTGTTCTAAATCACGGTGGACAATGATCAAACAGCACACAAAGCTTCTACCTAGATATTAAATATATTAAGTGTTAGTCGGTATACCTCGTTCAATATTTCCTAATACCGACAGTCTATTAGTATTCTTTTCTAAAGTATTAGTTTAGTTTTAACATGAGTTTTTCGGCATCTGCAACACAATACATGAAATGACATACAGTGCAGAGGATTAGCGGTGTTACTAGAGAGTAACATACTAAAAAAAGGAGGCGGGATAAGAACGACAGAGCAAACCACACCAGAGCATCCGTCAACCACCCTCTTTGCTTTATTCATATAATCCCTATTATTATATATGGTAGATATACAACAAATTCTGTATGATATGACATTTATTTGATGATAAAACATTGTAATCGATGCAAGCCTTGCTTGAACATCGAAAAATCGTGTCTTCGGATAAATTAACAATAACAACATAAGCAGCAACAGCAGCAACAGCAGCAGTGCAGAAACAACATCAGCAACAACAACAACAATAACAACAACAGGAATAATAGTACCATCCAAGAAAATGTCTCGAAATTCCTTCAATATTCTACAGGGTGATCAACAAAAAAAACTAACCTTTTTTTTGGTAAATATTTTCCTCCACATCAAAGTATTGCGTTTTAAATTTGTACACAACATTTTGGAGTCAAAAGGAATTTGGCTGATATTCAATTTAGATAAATCCACAGAACTGTTTTTCTCTACATAGCGCGTAATCCCCCCCTTTCCCGAAGATTTTCAGCTATATCCCCATTTTCGTAGCATGACGCACTTGGTCTACCTTTAAAAGTCCCAACAATCGCGTCATATTGCAAACCACAGTAGTCTAACAGGCCAACAGAAGTTAGCAGATAGTTTTTTTTAAGTTTCCTATGCCTGCTGAGATCATGGTTAAGATTAGTAAAGAGCAGAGGGCTCTATGTATTGAACATTTCCTCCTCTCCAACTCATTTCGTAAGTTTCGCACACGGCGCGGAAATTATATTAAAGTGTCTTTAAGGTCTGCTTTGATGTCAAGGGTGAAAGTGGTCTATCTGTTATGACCTGTAGAGAATCAGAACTAAAAATTCCCAGACAAAACGATCACTTCAGGTCAAACACACACCGTTCGCATCCCTTTAAACATCACCAGGGAGTGGCATTCAGTTGATGAGACGTCTGTCTGTAGACCATGTCTGCAGCTAGGACTTTCCTGCATCTCAACGGTCCTCATTCTCTAGGCAGATCTTCATCTACGACTGTACCATTTTCCCGTTCACGAAGCTATCAGAGGATAGCAATGTGTTCATGATCTCTCCATCGTATTTTAAAGCGTGAAAATTTTCTCAATGACATTTGGTTTCTTGGCAAAGTCCATATTCACCTTTCAGGACATTAAATGCGGTCTATTTGGACAACCTCACCCTATCCCCTATTGTCTCTAGAAACAATCTTATACTGTAAGGTGTACAGTGTGTGTGGTTTTGAGTACTCATGGTTGGGTGGATCCCTGTGTTTATCCACCACGAACATAACGAACGATTAAAATGTGTTGAGTCCAAAGGACATACAGAGCACTGGTTTACGGAATTCCAGAATTTCACAAATATTTTTAAAAACTCAGAAAGAGAAAAGAAAATTTATATTGTTTAAATGTTACGGGGATGGAAAGATGAGGCTTTAGAAAGAAAAGAAAGGGAAAAAAACGAAATAACAATTATATAACTCTCCTTACAAGATCTTTTAAACTGGTGCATTTTGTGTTTATATGTGGTTTTTTATATTTAAAAACAAAACATTTCCGTTTATAAATACTATGTCAAACAAATTCAATTTGGAAGAATTATATCTGTCCTAAACAACAACATTCTAGTATCACTTTTGCGCGAGATATTCAGAAAAAGTTTTTTTTTGGGTTTTTTTTTTGGATCAACCTGTATTTCAACTAAGCTAGAGTACTGAAGTGTTCCCAATATGACGGCGAAGCAGACAAAAATAGCTCAACTAATTAGAATGCCAATGCAATACAGAATATACAAACAAAACAAAGCACATAAATACGTTTCTGTTTATTAAGGCCAAGTTCAAATTTGGAAAAATCTCCATTTTGTACGACAAATGGAATCCTGGTCCGAAACAATGTAGGATTCTGTTCCCCCTCCGGGTCCACACCACTCTCGTTCCTTTTTGTAGTGAAGAACTGCAAACTTGTTTCTTGTTTTCTGATCCTAGGCGTTGTTGTTTTGGTGTGGTGCGTGTGTGTGGTGGTTAGGTGCGTGGGTATGATGGTTAGGTGCGTGGGTATTGTGGTTAGGTGCGTGGGTGTGGTGGTTAGGTGCGTGGGTGTGGTGGTTAGGTGTGTGTGTGTGGTGGTTAGGTGCGTGGGTGTGATGGTTAGTTGCGTGGGTGTGGTGGTTAGGTGCTTGGGTGTGGTGTGGTGCGTGGGTGTGATGGTTAGGTGCTTGGGTATGGTGTGGTGCGTGGGTGTGCTGTGGTGCGTGGGTGTGGTGGTTAGGTGCTTGGGTGTGGTGTGGTGCGTGGGTGTGGTGGTTAGGTGCGTGGGTGTGGTGGTTAGGTGCGTGGGTGTGATGGTTAGGTGCTTGGGTGTGGTGTGGTGCGTGGGTGTGGTGTGGTGCGTGGGTGTGATGGTTAGGTGCTTGGGTGTGGTGTGGTGCGTGGGTGTTGTGGTTAGGTGCATGGGTGTGGTGGTTAGGTGCGTGGGTGTTGTGAGCAAAGTTCTGAGTCTCCGCAGGCTTAGTGGTGTGATGTGATGCATTGCTGTGATGATTAGGATGGTGGGTAGCGTGTTGAGGTGCGGGGGTGTGGTGGTGCGCATCAGGTTTGTGGGTAGAGTGGTGGGGTGGATGAGTGTGATGGTTGGGTGGGTGGGTAGAGTTATGGGGTGCGTGGGTATGGTGGTGGGGTGGGTGTGTAGTGTGGTGGGGTGGGTGGGTATTATGGTTAGGGTGGTGTGTAGTGTTATGGGGGGCGTGGGTATGGTGGTGGGGTGGGTGGGTGTGGTTGTTAGGTTGATGGGTAGAGTGGTGTGGTGGGTGGGTGTGGTGGTTAGGTTGATGGGTAGAGTGGTGGGGTGGGTGGCTAGGGTGGGGCGTGGGCGTATGATCATGGCTATAGCCAGGCTTGCACTTCACGGACCCATGGCTGTGTTGGCTGATTGAAAAAAACACAGAGAAAACGGGAGTTAGTTCTACGCCCTACTGGACATAAATTATAGATTCTACTATTTCAATGATTTGCCTCAAATGATGCAGTGCTTAAAGAAAAGACTAGAGAAAAAGGAAATGGGAACCTCATACTTTTCTACAACAAGACTCAAATACTACTTCGAGAGATGCAGAACTCAAAGAAAAGACGAGCAGAAAAGAAGGAAATAAAGACTTCTAACTTTCCTGTCCACTAGACACTCAATGTTGTGTCGCAGGACTGAAAGCTTTCTAGTCAAATCGTAGTAAGAAAAAAAAAATCTTTAAAGATATGTAAGAATTTTTAAAATCAGATAAAGAAGCGGAATATAACAGAAGTCAAGAACCATTTTATACGCTCGGTTATTTTTACTCTTGTAACATTTACGCTTATGTGAACCAACATCCCCAAAACAACACAACAAACTTTAATAGAAGAGCCAGCTAGAGACATCTGTGGAAAACGTCTGTTTATTTTTGTTACAGCTATACGCTTTTGTCATACTAGCCACAACTTGGATATAACAACAGTTTGAGCTGAAAAGAAACATTTGTGAAACGATGAGAGAATCTCGACACTATCATTGAGTTATCGTCTGACTTCCCACGTTCTTCTCCCGTAGGTGAGATGCCGTGTGTCGTCAGCGGATGTCTAAGAGCAGCCCCAAAGATGGAGAAAGGTAGCCGGTAAAACAGTAGAAGGGTTCCCAAAACTAAAAACACAAGATACCAAAAATGTTCCTTTATGATCCTCCGTTTAACAGCAAGAGTTGCCAATGTAAACTTGCAAATCCAAGAAGGTACCAGGATCGAAAAAGGTAAGGTGAACTAAACAGGAATAACGTTAATACACATATTGTTAACTTCAGGATGAAGAAGTCACGGAGACTTAAGAGCAGCACAGACTTCAGGCGTATGGCCAACCGAAAACATAGCTGGATAGACCATCGCGGATGTGTGTCGTCGTTTACGTATGAAAATGCAAGAAGACTTTTACGTTTTAAAGTCATCAGCTGTCATGGGAGACGGAAATAGGAGAAAATAGTGGATAGCTGGGTCTGTGTGAAGAACGGTGTGACTTATGTCACTGAGGCGCTACGCTAGCTGTGAAGGCCAACCCGGGTCATTCTGAAACATTGCTGGCCAATGGGGCTCTGGTAAAGCTGCCACTGGCTTAGCAGTCTGGCAGTGGATATTGTTTTTGCTCAAGATAATAAAAAGGAGACACAAACGGACTGATCAAAACGGAAACGACCTATCGAGGAAAAAGGACAATGAACAAGAAAAAAGGAAAAGATTGGGACCTGGAACATTTGCAGCTTGACAAACAAAGAACCTGAGATAGTGGAGGCCATGACACTGAACAAAATCTCCATCATGGGCATTACAAACATCAGGAAAAAGGGAACAGGTACAAAAGAGATCCACTCCAACTGTGTCCTCATTTGGAGTGGGCTAAGAAAAGAGCAAAGAGCTGAACATGGTGTGGGTTTCATCATACACCCTGAAAAAGTGAAGGAAATAATAATAAATACAGAGTTTCTTTTCTGAAAGACTCATCAAAATCAGCATTAGAGAGGGCAAAAAGACCACAAACTACATTCAGGTGTATGCACCGTGTAACGACTCCTACTCAGACGAAGAAAAATATTCCTTGTTCGAACAACTCTCGGACTTAATCAGCAGCATCCCAGATGAGGAAGACCTTTATGCAATGGGAGACTTCAACGGAAGAGTCGGAGAGAGAAAAGACCGTGGACAAAACACCTGGGTCCACACAGTGACCACAGAACACCATGTAGTTATAATGGCAACCATGTATTGGAACTGTGTGCAGAGCACGACTCATTCATCACCAACACCTTCTTCCAGCACAGAGCCTCTCAGATCTACACCTGGTACAGATGGAACAACACCAAGGTCTCAATACCAAATATTTAATGTTAGCGAGATCTCGAATGCGGATCACACTCACAGACCCAAGAGCCATCCCCAATGCAGGCCTGGACACAGGCCAATCATCACAACGTTGACCACCAAGAAAGAAAGAAAACCAACAAACAATAAAAGACAGCAAGAGAAACTAAATATGCATAAGCTCGGGGATGATCAGGTGCAGATTCGGATAAGATTCACCCTGAATGAAAAGCTAGACTCTATCAACTCTACAATACTAACCGTAGATGAGGCTAGGGACACCTTCAAAACAGCTCTCCTGGACACTAGGAAAGAAGTCTGTATGGGTCAATAAGAAAAACGAAGAGGGCTACATTAAATAGAGACTGGCAAGAAGACACAGCGAGAATGTTGTTATAACATCAAAATAAATGTCATGGACCCAGTATGGCGAAACACTAAGTGAAACCTGCAGGACCTCTCCAAGAGAGTTCTACAAGAAGGTGAAGGCAATGAGAGTGAGAGACGAACCCTCTGTACCCACCACTGTTATCAACGATACCAAAGAAGAAGCTCTACACGAAGAGAAGGAAATAAGAAAGAGATGGAAAAAATATTTTTAAGAACTACTACTAAACCCATCATTTTACAGGCACAAAACACACAGTGCCCCTTCATCGCTAGCTACCCAGAGAACTCAGAACCTTCCATCCTGGAGAGCGAAGTGAGAGAAGCACCGAAGACTAGTCCAAAGAACAAGGCAGCTGGATACGATGGCATCACAACCGAATCCACCCTTTCATGCGGTGAAACCGGAATACATTGGCTTACAATCATCTTCCAGAAAGCCTGGAAAGAGATAAAAGTACCAGCAGACTGGCAAAACGCGACAGTGTTGCCAATATGGAAGAAAAAGGACAGCAAGAAAGACTGTAACACATACAGAGGCATATCTCTCCTCAGCCAACCGAGGAAAATGTATGCAAAGATCCTAGAGCGATGCACTCGCGCGAAAGCCGAACACTTTCTCGGTGATGCCCAGTTTGGTTTTAGAAAAGGAAGAGGGAGCATTGATACAATGCACTCCGACACTGTGTGAGAGGGCATTGGAATACGACCAAGATCTCCATCTTGCATTTGTGGATCAGGAAATAGCCTTTGACTGAGTAAACAGAAACAAGCTATGGAAGATCCTGGAGCAGTACGACATCAAGGGACAACTGCTAGACAACATCAGGGCTATCTATGCCAACAGCAGAAGCGCAGCCCGCACTACCAGTGGAACATCGGACTGGTTTCCAGTAACATCTGGAGTCATGCAGGGTTGCAAGAGATGGCATTAAAATGTGTCAAATGTGGCATGAGAAAAGACAACTTAGCAGTTCTCGTTAATTCAAAGAAAACCTTGCCGGAAATACGCTTGACAATCATACATTTCCAGGAAGGTTATGTAATGGCCTAAATGATGAACAATGTGTTACGTAATATGTAAAGTCTTGTGACCAAATATGGAAACCAACATGGCCGCCTTTTAAGAAACCTGCAACATGTTTTGACATACACAAACACACACACACACACACACACACACGCGCACACACACACATACACACACACACACACACATACACACACATACACACACACACTCTCTCTCTTTCTCTCCCATCTCTCTCTCTCTCTCTCTCTCTCTCTCTCTCTGTCTCCCTCCCTGAAGTAAGCAATACATACCATGCATATTGGTGCCCACAGAACCTGTCCATCTCTCTCTCTCTCTGTCTCTGTCTCTGTCTCTCTCTTTGTCTCTCTCTCTCTCTCTCTCACTTTCTCTCCCTCTCTCTGTCTGTCTCTCCCTCTCTGCCTGTTTGTCTCTCTCTCACTCTCTCTTATATCTCTCTCACTCTCTCTCACTCTCTCTCTCACTCTCTCTCTCTCACTATCTCTCTCTTATCTCTCTCTCTTATCTCTCTCACTCTCTCTCTCACTCTCTCTTACCTCTCTCTCACTCTCTTTCACTCTCTTTTATCTCTCTCTCTCTCTCACTCTCTCTCCCTCCTGCAGAAGTAAGCAACACATACCATGTACACTGATGCCCACAATACCTGCCAGTCTCTGTATCTCTGTATCTCTGCCTCTCTGTTTCTCTGTCTGTCTGTCTCTTTTCCTCCCTCTCTCTCTCTCTCTCTCTCTCTCTCTCTCTCTCTCTCTCTCTCTCTCTCTCTCTCTCTCTCTCACGCTCACTCACTCTCTCTCTCCCAGGAAAAAGCAAAACACAAACATACCATGTACACTGGTGTCCACACAACCTGTCCATCTCTCCCTCCTCACTCTCCCTCCCCCCTCTCTCTGTGTGTTTCTCTGTCTGTCTGTCTGTCTGTCTGTCTGTCTGTCTGTCTGTCTGTCTGTCTGTCT